CACCATTCTAAATAATTTATATCAAAATCCATTGTGAATCTATAGCGCTAATATTTAGTGTCAAGATACATTTTTTAAAACCAACTTTATTCTCTTATCTAAATGTAATGCCATAAATATGAAAAATTTCTAGGTTAAACACAGCATCAATTGTACTTACAGAGCACAATAAGAGGAAACTAATTGTTACAGTTAATAAATGTATTCATATTTTTTAATTCAATTTTTTATTAAATCATAGCTATATATGTGTATATTTATATAGTATTCACTGTGTGTCAGGCATTTTCTAATATTTTTTATAAGTTCATATTTAAATTCCCTTATAAATCCTGTGAAATAGGTACATTTTACAGATAAGGAAGCCGAGGGACAGAGAGGTAAAATGCCCAGTCACACATCCTGTACAGAGTATTTCAGTTCCACACAGTCTAAAAAGCCTGTACTCTTATCTACAGATAGGATTTGCAATTGGACCCTGTGGAAATATCTTACTAGTATCATAGCTTTGGTCCAGTTGTTTAACTGTTTTTCCCTCAATATTCTCATCTATAAATAGGAAACATAACTTTGTGTGGTAGTATATTACAAGACATATGTACATATAACTCACAAGATTATCTGTCAGGGCCCAGGACTGGCCAGGTCTCGTGCCCAGCTTAGGTAGGTTCTGGACGCGGACCACTAAACTACGTTGCTCAGGAACAGTTTCTCGTAGGTGCTTGAGGGCTATCTACTTTAGCTGGACAGAGAGAGAGACAGAGTATCTTAGAGAGAGTAAAGGTCTTCTTAGAACAGATAGCTCTTAGTCCTTAGCAGAGCTTGGTAATCTTCAGCAGAGACGCTGTGCTGATGTTCTGCAGGCAGGAGAGGAGACAGAGTCAGAGTAAGTGGATCCCTGATAGAATGCGTATGCCTCTTGACTGCCTTCTCCTCCAGCCTAATATAAGGCTGAGCTTGTGCTTCTCACCACCACAGGTGTAGAGACTGCCAATTCACCAATGCTCTCATCTCGCGAGCTCACTTATGTTTGTTAGAAACCAAATCTCTCTCCATGCCCTTTTCACCAAGGTGTTCCATTACAGGTATTTCTTATAACTCTCACTCCTCCTAGCCATAGGCTATACGGGCTGCTACAATTATCGTGAAAGGTTAGTGAGATAATGAACAGAAAAAAAGCCTAGCATGGTGATTGTCATCACTGCTCCAGCTGACCTAAGCTAGCAAGGCCTCCATATCAGCTTCTTTCACTAAATAAGGGGGGCCTCACGCAGTTGGAGTGAGGGTAGGCAAAGGCTGTGTTTTCGCTCCCCCACAGCCTCAGTAATTGACCAGAGGCTGCTATGTCCTGGACAAATTCTGCCAAATGCTTCGCTGTTCATCAGCAAACGGTTATAAAAACAGTCCTGCTTTCTGCCCTGAGATATTTTCTCCAGCCATAAGCTGTACGGGAAGCTCAGTCAACAGACATCTAAACTTAAGGCCAGCAGCCCCCGAGTCAGGGCAGGTGATGGGGTCTCCATGAACACCTCATCGTGGAGATTAGAGACCTGCACCTATGCCTGAGTGGCAGGAGGGTGTGTGCAGTTTTAGACGAGCCATCCATCTTGAACATTACTCATTTTGGCAGTGAAATTATTCTCCAATGAGCCCTATTCTAATCAACACACTCTCTGGTGTCAATTTCCGTAACTATATCTCAAGTACCAAGACTATCTTTGGGGTGTTGGTTTCTGATTAGAGTACTTTAGCACAAAAGGCCTGCTCCAACTTGTACAGGCTCACATACACAAACAGGATTATTCCAAGTTAAAGTGTTACCACACAGATAATATAGCAGTGATGTGTATGGCTGTCCCTCTCTGAGTCCTTTTCCTTCTTTATTTTTTAATTCAATTTTTTATTAAATCATAAATATATAGATTTACGGGGTACAATGTGATGATTTGATGTACAATGTGGAATGCTTAAATCAAACTGATTAACATAACTACCACCTCACTTACTTATTTTTTGTGATAAGACATTTATAATTTATTCTTAGTTGTTTGAAATGTACCCTTGCATTGGGCACTTGGGTGAGGTCCCACCAAATGCCCTCCCTCCTCCCTCTGCTCACTCTCCTACCTCCTCTCCTCTCCTTCTTGCTGGACTATATTTGTGTTTTATCATTTGTAGGAATGTGTAAGTTATTACATATTGGATTAACAAATTGTGGTGTATATATACCCTGGAATACTATTCAGCCATAAAAAGATGAGGACTTTAGATATTTTGTGTTTACATGGATGGAGCTGGAACATATTCTTCTTAGTAAAGTATCTCAAGAATGGAAAAAAAATACCCAATACTCAATCCTATTATGAAACCAGTATATAATCACTCACACATTCCTATGAATGGGTCCTTCACCTTTTTCTCTCCTCATCCCCTATCCCCCACTCAAAGGCCCAATAGTCTAGGTGGCAAGAGATTTAAACAGAAAGGGTGAGATTATAGGGAATTCTATATCATTGCTCCCCCAGAAATAAAAAGAAAGCTCATCATGTACCTAAATGGTGTATTTAGAACAGTTTAACAGGGTGAGATTTTTCCATACATAGTTATCTTTATAAACACAAACGATTGCTTTTTATAAGTACCTTCATAAAACATTCCAGGACAGAGAGACATACCCCATCATGCAACAATAACCACAATTAATAGCTGACTTGCCAATATCCCTTTAGTCTTTTATCTATACACAGGTATATCAGGCCCTGAATGTGTGTGAATTTGTGCATGGTTTTAAAGATACCATGGCGCTCCAAAACGAAAATAGTCTGTTAATTTTCTGATTCTGAAAGATACCATAAGCTCACTATAAAAAATATTTGGACAATACATAAAGGAATAAAAAGAAGGTTTAAAAATCTCCTTCAGCAATAAGTACTGAAAACAAATCTCTTCCTTCATACACGTGGATACAGAGCAAGGAAGCCAGGGCACAGACCCGCAGTAAGGTGTGGAAAAACCCACAGCCAGATGCGAGCCTTCTGAGAAGGGGAGGCCTGCATGCACCTCCAGGTAAAACTTCCTGTTATTCCAGAAATGTACTGTGAATGGAGAAGTTTGAGAGTTGGGATTCTTAAGAAATTGCATTGCTCTGCATAATGTAAAAATCATTCCTGTGATGACAGATTTTCCCTTCGGCTGATTATTTTCAGAAAATTAAAGAAAAAATGATTAATTTATTTTAATACCAAGACACTATTGCTTATTCTTGAAAGTTATATGTATTGTAAATATGTATGTACATCAGAGATTGCTCAAGCAACCAGAAAGCATCACTGAGTTTGCTTGCTTCTGAGGTCTCATTTATCCTGTTACCGTCTTCAACACTCGAATAGTCCAGCTCACAAGGACCCAGAAGAATATGGAAAGCAGGGCCACTTACCCCCCCAAACAGGAGGGAGGACTCACTGTTGATTGTCACTACTTTGATTGAAAAATTGCCTCTGAGCCCTAGAGAAGATTCTTACCTTGCATGAATGTCTTGTAAAGAGGTGATCATAGAAATTAGGCAGCCTGGACAAAATTTAAAACTCGTTATATATGAGAGTTTTGTAAAGTTATTTACATGCTGGCAATAGTGACCCTGTGTTATGGTTCTGTAATGTTTCTTTACTTTTTAAGAGTTTTCATCAGAAATATTTTCCTCCACCCCATCCCATTTTCTATTTCTCTTATTAAAGGTGTTTTTTAGGACCAAAATTGTATCCCATCCGCAGCTAAATTCCTCCAATAAACTCCCATCACCTTGGTGATAAAATCCAAAGCATTGTCAGAATTCAGATTCTCCCTGATCTCTCCGCTCTCTCTCCCACTGTCGCAAAAGCATGATTTGATTTTGAAGTCCCTGAGATCAGGCCTCATTCTTCCCACCAGCCATAATCAGTACTTGAAGACCTTGTCTACAGGAAGACACACACAGTGGTTCTTGCTCTGTTCTTGCCATGACACCAGTCCTCTTAATTCCCTTCATCTCTCCAGCCCTTTATCAACACCTAACAGATTCTAGCCTCAGCTAGACCTCACCAGGTGTATCTGGGAGGCCATCTCTGTGCTTTCCAGAAGGAGTTGAGCACCCTCTGCTGATCCTTACCTCCCTGTCCTTCTTAAACCCAGATCTCCACCAGCCCCTGTTGTTACTACCTTTGTTACGCCCACCTCCCAGTTCTGAGGTCCTTGAGCACAGCGACTGTGTTTGCATCGCTATGACACTACGCTGAGCCCATAGAGTAGGAATTTAATATGTGTTGAATTAGTGTATCAGCCAGCTCATTTGATCCACCCCAGTCTCTGTGATGAAAGAGGTAGAAAAGGTCCTGTGAGCCTCATTTAGTAAAATGATGGCTGAGGCTTGGAGACTTTGGTAACTTGTCTGAGGTCTTATAGTTAGTTAGGAACAGAACTTAAGCCAGCCTGAATCTGGAGCCAGTGCTCTCTCTACTATTCAGTTCTTCAGTGTCCCCGCCCACCCCCATGCTGCCTCCACACACTGCTTCCACCACGATGAACGAATTCTAGGTCAAGATTATGATGGTAACTGGATATCCTAAGCACTGTGTGCTGGTATGGCTCTTACAAAAAAACAAAATTCTCAAAAGCATTTTTCAGGCATGAAAGTAAAGAGATATGTTTTAATTTCGTCACCACAACCTCTGTTAAAAATTGGAGACTGTTATTTCCGGAAACTCTAGAATTTTCTTTGGAAATATCCCCCAACTGAGAAGGAAGTCTGACGCAGCCTCCTAAGAGTCTGTGTTGCAATAGGTGTTGTGTCCCTGAAACCACTGGAAAGACGGGGTTAAGAATACAAAATGAGCTGTAAACCATATATGGAGAAACCCATATCTCGAAACTTGTGATGAACTCATGTTCTGCTTTCCAGTCTCTGCAAAGCTGAAGCTGGCTGTGCCTTGCAGAACTGCCAGCTGCAAACTCAGAGAGGCAAGCACACTCACGCTGAGACTGCAGGGCTCCGGGGAGTGGCCTCCTGAGCCTCCGCGCCAAACACACTGAGCATGCAAGCTGCTCTCGCCACGGCAGCCTGGGTGGTTTCCTTCGTCTCTAGTTATTCATATACAACAAAAACTTTGCCAGATATTGAAAATGAAGATTTCATCAAAGACTGTGTCCGGATGCACAATAAGTTCCGATCAGAGGTGACTCCAACAGCCAGTGATATGCTGTACATGGTAAGGAAAATAGCAATCTTGAGGGCATAAGTTAATAGCTAATATGTAATGAGTTTGGGGTTAAGTCCTTGGTAATCTGGAATGATCTTTTTGTTATGATTAATGTGTGCAAAAGAACTTGACAATCTATAATCAAAACAACTCAGTTTAGTCCTGTCTCCTCAACGCCTCTGTCAACAGTGAGCTTCATGTGCATTTCACTTCTCTTTCTGGGTACAGCCTTTTCTCTGGACATAGCTAGATCTTTTTTATGTCATTCTCCTCCTTGTTATTTTTATGGTTTGTTTGTTTTTGTTTTTCTGATTTCTAAGTTTCCTTTTCTTGTTGCCAGCACAGTACTGACTGGCTTAGGAGGGCAGCATGGCATTTGGGAAAGTATAGGGTTTTGATTCAGTGAGGGTTGAGTTTGAATCTCAGTTCTCTGGCTTTGAGCTGATTTGTTGTTATATGAGTCATGTGAAACACAACACACTAGTTTGTGCATAATTGTCCTTCAAGGCCGGGTGTGGTGGCTCACATCAATAATTCTAGAACTCTGGGAGGCCAAGGCAGGTGGATTGCCTAAGCTCACAGGTTCAAGACCAGCCTGAGCAAGAGTGAGACCCCATCTCTAAAAAATAGCCAGGTAGTGTGGTAGGGGTCTGTAGTCCCAGCTACTTGGGAGGCTGAGGCAAGAGTATTGCTTGAGCCCACCAAGACTTTGAGGTTTCTATGAGCTATGACACCACCACACTCTACCAAAGGTGACAAAGTGAGACTCTGTCTCAAATAAAACAATAATAATAATAATGCAGTGGCTCACACCTGTAAATCCTAGCACTCTGGGAGGCCAAGCCGGCTGGATTGCCTAAACTCACAGGTTCAAGACCAGCCTGAGTCAGAGCAAGACCTCATCTCTAAAAATAGCTGGGCATTGTGGTGGGTACCCATAGTCCTAGCTACTTGGGAGGCTGAGGCAAGAGAGTTGCTTAAGCCCAAGAGTTTGAGGTTGCTGTGAGCTATGAGGCCATGGCATTCTACCGAGGGCAACAAAGTAAGACTGTCTCAAGAATACTAATAATAGTTGGTCTTCAGTGAAATGCTGGTTGGTTTCCCTCGCCTAGATTCCAACCTCCATGAAGCTAGATTATCATGTTTCCCTCTATCCGTAGTCAATGTTTGAAGACCATATTTATAGAGGACCCATATGCAGTCATCCCTCGTGTGTTGTCATCACACATCATTTTCCATTCAACTTCACACTCTGTTAACCCCAGTTACAATTTGGGTAACAGGTTATATTCTTGACTGCCCTTCCATGTTTTACTATTTATTTTTGCAGACTTGGGACCCCCAACTAGCACAAATTGCAAAAGCATGGGCAAAAAAATGTCATTTTCAGCATAATGGACAGCTGAAGCCACCCCACAAGCTGCACCCAAACTTTACTTCACTAGGAGAAAACATCTGGACTGGGTCGCTGTCCATCTTCAATGTGTCTTTAGCCATCGCAGACTGGTACAACGAAATCAAATACTACGACTTCAAGACTCGGAGATGCAGTAAGGTCTGTGGCCATTACACTCAGGTGAGTATCTGCCCTGTATTTTCTTGAAACTATCTTTTCAAGGATGAGGAGAAAATTGGAATCTTGGGTTAGGAAAATATATTGTAAACTAGTGCACCTGTAAACATAATGGAGAAGGGGCTATAGAGCTTAATTTAAAAATAATAAATGCAACAGTCTCCAATATCTGAGAAAATAGTGCTTAAAGGGTTTGGACTAAATACATAATACACCATGTTTTTCAACCTTTTTTTTTAATCTCATGGCACACTTGAACCTATAGTTAAACTTCCACAGCACACATAAATTATATTGATCAAAAAAGAGAGTAAAAAAATACCTACTCTGCCTTGAACTTTTTAAAAAAATCAATAACCTTTAAAAATTGTCACAGTACCTCTAAGATCCTCTCCCTTTCAGTGTTTGAGAATCACTGAAAACAGGAAGTACGTGAGGCCCAACGATACAGACGTTCTTTAAAACCTCAATTGAAAATCTGTGCGCTGGGCACTGGGCTGCCACAGGGAGGAAAAAGTCTTCAGTCCTAGTCCCAGTGGAGAAGCTGACATGTAAACTTATACAAACTACCCTGAGGCCATTATGTCCCCAAATCCACATCATTAGTCCCAGTGCCCATAGTCAGAGCCTCCCATGTTTTTACTCAAGCCAATTTGTCCCTCCTCCCTCTAGCTCAGGTTTATGACATGATGGAAACGAATCCTCAGGTAGCATCTGCTGATTGTCTTCAGATGCCGACTTCCTAGCCTGGAAACACTTTGTCTACTTTTTTCCCTGCCGTCCTTATTAAACCAAGAACTAAGGGTATTTAGTCAATGTTTGGCTTCCTGTACACAATCTGTTGAAATGAGGTATGAATGCAAAACCATTTCCAACAAGGTAGTTACATCGAAATATTCTGTAGTTTTAAAGAAGAACATGTTGTTAGGAAATCTCTCAATTCTGCTGTGTCTTACAAAGCCTCTGGTGTCAGTGTTGGTGATTTGAGTAAACCAAATTTGGCAAAGGAGATTATAGGAGATTATTACGAAGAGGGAGAGGACTGAGTAAAAATTTTCACCTCAAAATTATTGTGAACCAAGAGGGCTATCACATCATCTATAGGATTATTCTCTTTCTTAGAAACAGAAATAGTTTCTCCTGAATTTATTACGTAAACCAACAATCTTGGTTTATTTCTACAAACAAATTAAATGAGAGAGTAAATTCTCTAGTTTTCAACAAGACCTAGGGAGTAAGAATGCTAAATCTGGATTGCCTAGAGGGGGTATTTTGTACCATCATGCATTGTGGTGGTTAAATATCCCTAAATAATCATCAGTTTGTGGGTGCCTAACTTTCATTTATTCAGATGGTGTTTAACCTTCTAGCCTGGGCCAAGTGCCAATGATACCTTAGTCCACATTCTTTGGAAAACAGAGCCTGAAATGATCGTTTATGAGATCTTCCTTTACTGTGGTATAATCTCAGAGAAGTAAGACTAAGGAGAAATAGGGGGTGAGGCAGGGAAGGAGGGATACGGCGAGGAATATTCCCTGCACCCTGGAATTGACCTTCTTCCTTGATATATGTATTACAGTGCATGATTGGTGCAATTTAGAGACACTGACAAAGTGCCACCTCAGCAAAGAGGACAGAGCAAGTTTATCCAGTTAGAGCAGCGGTTTTCAACCCCTTTCTCTCATGGCACACCGGAACCTATAGTTAAATATCCACAGCACACTTAGATTATGTTGATCCAAAAAAAACCCAAAAAGAGTAAAAAATAAAGAATATACTTACTATGCTTTGAACTTCTTTCAAAAATAATTTAATTAATAATCTTTAAAATTTTTCGTGGCACACCCTAGATCCTCTCAGGGATCACCTCTCAGGCACATCTGCTGAAAATCAGTGAGTTAAAGGGAAGTGCAAAGCTTCACACAGCAGAAGACAGCTGGATTTGTGGGAAACTGAGTCAGAGTTTGGCAAGTGAAAAGGAAAGGGAAGAGAATTCCAAGTGAAATCAGCAAGGTACAGAAAGCACGTGGTGTTTGCAGAGGAGCCTGGTGCTTCAGAAGAAGGGCAAGTCTCACAGCGCACCAAACATAGAGGTGGGAAGACTTACACTGACAACAACGCATACAAGTTAAGACACTCCGTGCCATGATTCCAGGGAGTCTGAACAAGAGGAGAAAATGAGAGTTTATATCATACATGCCTGAGATTTCATAGATGCCTCCCCAAATTAACTGAGCTTACTTGGAAAATCCCTTACATGTAGGGAGGAAAAAGAGGTCTAAGATGTTGGACATGAGAAAACTCGTCTTCTAAAATCTGGTTCCATGCATACAGATACGTCTATCAAACCCCAAGTCGAGCCATCCTAACTTTTTCTTTATAAGACAACACTAGATTTTACCCCACTTCAAAAGAGGGTCTTTCATCAGGGAGAGAATGTTCAGGAAATAGACAGCAGCAGCAACCACCTTTTGAATGACCATGGATTTATCTTTCTGTATTGAACACTTTACTCAGTTCTCATCACAAATCAGTAAGAGAAGTGCTAATACCCACAGGTGAATAAGCAGATAACCTCAGAGAGATTAGGAAGTGGTTTCCTCAAGGTCATTTATCTAGTAAGAGAAAGAATCCAGATATCAGATATGTTGTAAGGCTTAGATAATATATAATGCATGTAATTTACCTAACAAAGTACTAGCATTTAGTAGGCACTGAAAGTTCTGTGAACTGGTTTCCAAGCAATCATTATGGAAGAAGCATGTGATAGGTCAAAGACTCACTGTTTTCATCTTTATAAACCTTGCTAGGGGATTCACTAGTATTTGATTGCTAGAAAGTTTTAAATGCATGCCGGGAAGTTACCTTAAGTGGATCTTATAATTTCCTAATTTATCTGAATCTCCTATTGAATAATCAAACTATTTGCAGATTTTGGCTGATGAGGGGCAATTCACAGAATAAAGAAACGTAATAGATTCAGATCCTTTAGGTATTCATGAAAGGTATGCTGTTTCTTGACATGTTAGTTCAACACTTTAGCTTTGTCTTCACCAGAGACAGGTGTTCAGGAAGAAATTTTGGATACTAGTATGGAAGATCAATAAAATTATACATCCTGCTGAGGAGAGTTCAGCTCCTGAAGTTTGGAATAGCTCTACTAAAGTATCTGGCTGGGGCTGCGGATTACTTGGGTTTGATGGTGCTAGAATTTCCCACTAGATGGCACTATTGATCTTATTTTAGTTTTTATCTCCACCCTCCAACTCTACCCTCTTGAAATTTTTATTTTCGTATTCTCATAGAACCGATGGAAATAGAACGTGTTTCACAATGACTGTAGCAGGTATCACTGTATGTCACAGTGTCACCATACTCCTAATAATGAACCAGATGGGCTGAGAATCGAAAAGGGAAAGACGGTGGGAAGGGGCTGTCAGCATAGAAGGGAGACATGTCTCTCCCTCTGGGTTCCCAGGTGCCATGCTTTTGTTGGAAACATAGAGAGTGGGTCCTGAGGACTTGTTAAGAGAGAAAATACTTTGATAGCCTCTTCCATAGGGCACGGGGGTGTCATCACAATGCTTCATGGCCAGGCAGAATTGACCAAGTCCCAATCTCCTCACCCTTAAAAATGGGAGCAATGACAACCCATTTGAGTTGAGTTGTTATGAGGAATAAACATAACATAATACGTTTACCATATGAAAAGAAATTAGAACAAATCTTTTCTTTTTTGCAGTTTTTGGCCCGGGCTGGGTTTGAACCTGCCACCTCCAGTATTGGGGCCTGCGCCTTACTCCTCTGAGCCACAGGCACTACCCTAGAACAAATCATGCAAAGAACTCTGGTTGATAAAATATGCAGAGTATTAAACATTTTTAAAAGGAAGGAAATCAGTGTTAAGAGAACGAAACATGAACATTTGTGCTCACATATAATCAAACTTCAAAATAAGCCCATGGAGTTTGTGTTGTTATCCTCATTTAACAGATTAGGAAGCTAAGGCCAAGGTCAAGGTCACACAGAAAGCAAGACGCCTTTGTAGCTTTAGAGCCCATGAGTTCAACCAGAATCAGTATGTCCATAAGCTTTTATTTTATTTATTTATTTAGTCATTTATTCATCTAACTCATTTATCTTATTCTATTTATTCATTTATTTATTAAGACTGTCTCACTTTGTTGCCCTGGGTAGAGTGCTCTGGCATCACAGTTAATGGCAACCTCAAACTCCTGGGCTCCAGGGATCCTCTTGCCTCATCCTCCCAGTAACTGGGACTATAGGTACCCGCCACAAGGTCCAGCTATTTTTAGAGACAGGAGTCTTGCTGTTGCTCAGGCTGGTCTTGAACTCCCGAGCTCAAGTGATTCACCTACCTTGGCCTCCTAGAGTACTGGGATTATAGGCATTAGCCACCGTGCCAGGCCTATTCATAATGCTTTTAAAAAGAGACTAGCTTGAATGGATATTGCATGTAATACATTCACCTAATAAACATTATGCAGCAATAAAAAGGAATGATTACTACTAAATATGACACATGAATGGCTCCCAAACGCTGTGCTAAGGGAAAGAAGACAGATTCAAACAGCTACATTTGTGATCCCATTTGTAAAACATTCTGGAAAAGGCAAAGCTATAGGCTTATCATACCTAAATGTTCTTTTTACTGTTTCTCTGTGTGTTAAAGATCCTTATTTCCTTTCAGGTTGTTTGGGCAGCGAGTTACAAAGTTGGCTGTGCAGTGCAATTTTGCTCTAGAGTTTCTGGCTTTGAAAGTCTTTCCAATGGAGCACATTTTATATGCAACTACGGACCAGCGTAAGTGCCTGAATCAATCTCTTTCTTAAAAAAAAAAAAAAAAATTGAGACAAGTCTCACTTTGTCACCGTCCATAGAGTACCGTGGTGCCACAGGTCACAGCAACCTCAAAGTCTTCGGATTAAGTGATCCTCTTGCCTCAGCCTCACAGGTAGCTGGGACTACAGGTGCCCACAACAAGGACTTGGCTATTTTTAGAGACGAGGTCTTGCTTTGGCGCAAGCTGGTCTTGAACTCGTGAGCTCAGGCAATTCACCTCCCTCGGCCTCCCAGAGTACTAGGATTATAGGCTTAAAAAACATTTATTTTATAAATATTTATCTTCATTATTGAAAATCTGGATAATAAAATATGAAGAAGAAAATTAATATAACCCTTAATTTCTCTGCCCAGAGATCTACTTTACTGATAAGATGGTACATTTGTCTGTGTGTATGTGTGTGTACACCCATTACGTATACTAAACAAATTCACATTTTTTTAAGAATAGCAAGACTGGCTAGGTACAGTGGCTCACACCTGTGATCTTTGAGAGGCCAAGGCAAGAGGATTGGTTAAGACTAGGAGTTTCAGATCAGCTGAGCAAGAACAAAACTCAATCTATAAAAAAAAAAAAAAAAAAAATAGAAAAAGTAGCTGGGTGTGGTGGTGGCCACCTGTAATTCCCCACTACTAAGGAAGCTGAGGCAGGAGGATCATTTGAACCCAGGAGTTTGAGGTTGCAGTGAGTTATGATAATGTAACTACATCCTAGCCAGGGTGAAAGAGTGAGACCCTGCCTCAAAAAAAAAAAAAAAAAAATAGTAAGACTAAAATGTTTGTCAAGAATTTAAGCTAAATGAATATGGCATTAACAGAACAAAATGGAAAAGTTGATGTTACTTAATATTTACTGGTTTATTAAAAACTTGGCAGTATTTATACAAATATCACACCAAAAAGATCTATGAGTATAAATTTCATTTATCCATTTATATAACTTATATCATTTACTTTTTGACAGTTCTGTTATTAAAATTTGTACAGTTTTCCCCGTTGGGGAACCAAAGATGTGGGACCCCTCTCCCACTTCCTTTAAACTTGTATATGTGTGCTTGGGCGACATTAACAGATTTAGAAAGCTGCAGTCATTCTAGAAATACACATTTTCTATTTTTTAAACTAAATTATACCGTGAACATTTCTCACTTTATTAAAATTTTAAAGATGATTTTAATAATTACAAAAACAGTGAGAGATAATGTTTATATAATGCTTACAATATGCCAAGCACTGTATGTCACCTTATTTAATCTCCATAAAATGTTTATAAGTCCTGTTATCCCTGTTTTGCAAATGAGAAAAGTGAGGCACGTATAAGATGAGTTATCCCTTAACCGAGTTCCAACAATAGTGAATGTCAACGTGGATCTGGCCGTCTAGCTTCATGGTCTATATTCTTGATGGTAACAGAACAGTTCATCCTTTGAAAAATTTAGATTGATCCCTGTATTTCCTTAAAAAACTTGAGTAACTTTATTTCCCTATCATTACTAGAAATGGTACTAGTACAGAAAGAGTGTGCCCATTTGTGAAGTTTTTCAATGCATGTTGCTAAATTATCCCCCACTGTCATACCTATTTATACTTCTTCATCAGTATCATGTATTATACATTTCTGGTATTTTTTAATGTAATAGAAAATAGTATTTAATTTGTTCTCTTTTGCATTTCTTTGATTACTAGTGATTATAAATTTTTTTCACATAATTTTATTGACATTCCTTTGAATCATGTGGTCTGGTCATGTTTCTTTTTTTTAATTTTCAATTTTTTATTGATCATAATATACATAATTTCAGGGTACAGGTGATAATTTAACACATTCATATGATTTGTAAAGACTAAATAGTGTACTTGGGATATTCATCACCTTAAATATTCATCTTTTCTTTACACCAGAATCATTGAAATTCTTCTCTTCTAACTATTTTGAAATGTATAGGTTATTGTAAACTATACTTACCCTACTGATCTATTTAACACTATGTCTTATTTCTTTTATCAAACCACCTATCTGTACCAATTAATTAATTGTTTTTCATACCTCCCTCCCTTCTACCCTCCTCAGCCTCTGGTAGCCACCATTGCACAGTTTTTAGCTCCTCCATATAAGTGAGAACATGAGACATTTGTCCTTTGTGTTTGGCTTGCTTTATTTAACTTAACAGCCTCCAGTTCCATCCATGGTGCCACAGATGACAGAATTTCATTCTTTCTTAAGGGTTAATAATAGCCCATTGTGCATATAGACCACATTTTCTTTGTCCATTCATCCGTTGATGACACTTAGGTTGATTTCATATTTTAGTTACTGTGGATAATGCTTCAATAAACATGGGAGTACAGGTGAATTGTCAATAAACGGATTTCTTTCTTTTGGATGTATACACAGTAATGGAAATGCTGGACCATATGGCAGTTATATTTTTAGTTTCTTGAGGAACCTCCATAATGTACCCCATAGTGTCTGTACTAATTTACATTCCCACTAATAATATACAAGAACTGCCTCTTTCTCTGCATTCTCTTTTGGATAAAAGTTATTTTAACTGGGGTAAGATGATATCTCATTACAGCTTTGATTTGCCCTTCTTAGATGATTAGTGGTGTTGAACTTTTTTCATATACCTGTTGCCAATTTGCATGACTTCTTTTGAGAAATGTCTGTTAAGATTTTTCACCCATTTTAACTAAATTGTCCGTTTTTCTGCTGGTTACTGACTCCTTGTCAGATGGTTAGTTTCTAAGTGTCTTCTGTTCCAGGGATCACCTCTTCGTTATATTGTTTCCTTTGCTATGCGGAAGCTTTCTGGTTTATTCTTGTTATTGATTTCTCATTGTATTCTGTTGTGGTCAGAAAAGATAGTTGATGTGATTTCTACCTTTTTTTGAACTTGATCAGACTTATTTTGTGGTCTAACACATGGTCTACTCTGGAGAATGTCTTATAGGCTGATTAAAAGATTGTGTGTTCTGCAGCAGTTGGGTGAAATGTTCTGCAAATACCAGTTAGGGTTATTAAGTGCAGTGTATAATTGAATATTGATATTTCTTTGTTGATTTCCTGTCTATACAATCTGTTCATATCTATGAGAGGGGTGTTAAAGTCCCCTCCATTGTTATAGTCTATCTCTCCCTTCAGATATGTTAATGTTTGCTTTATTTACTTGGGATTCTCCAGATGCCTACAAATCTCTTTTGTGCATCACTAAGCAAGGCTATGGTAACAGATAGCCAGGGTGGAGGAAAGAATTATATATAGCACAGCAGAGGAAATAACCTTGACTTCAAGATACTAAGTACACAACCTGGTGTGCCTTGGCCACTACTGCGTAGGACCCTTATTCATATTTATTGTTTTCTTTAAAGATCTGTCTTCTCTCTTCCCCAGGATCCCAAAGCCCCAACCCTCTTATCTGTCTGGCTACAAATGGAAAGACTAAAACTTTCTGTTGCATTGTTGGGCAGAATACTTTAATGAGTCCCATCTAGACAAATCCAGCCCTTTTTGATAGCACGTTTCTTTCTCCAAAATGAATTCTACCATTTCCTTAGAACTTGCAACTGCTTTGGTAGTTAGCTTATTTTTAAGTAGGAATTTTAATTCCCTCTCCTTTGTAGTTTAGAATGCATAATTAAAGAAAAAGTATCATAAATGATTTTATTGAAACCATTCTAGTCTCCTGTTCCTGCGATTGCCTCTTCATTATAATGTTTCTTTTGCTGTGCAGAAGCTTTGTGGGTTCCTCTTGTTATTTATTTCTAGCTGTGTTCCATTGTGGTCTTCAACTGCCTAAGCATTTTTAACAATGAAACAAGCTTTTATTTATTTTTTTATTGTTCTTCTTGGGGAATGAAACAAGCTTTTTTTTTTTGAGACAAAGCCTCAGGCTATCCCCCTGGGTAGAGTGCTATGGCATCACAGCTCACAGCAACCTCCAACTCCTGGGCTGAAGCGAGTCTCCTGCCTCTGCCTCCCAAGTAGCTGGGACCACAGGTGCCCACCACAATGCCCGGCTATTTTTTGGTTGCAGCCATAGTTGTTTTGATGGGCCTGGGCTGGATTCTAACCCACCATCTTAGGTGTATGTGGCTGGCGCCTTAGCCATTTGAGCCACAGGCGCCAAGCCAAAACAAGCTTTTAAACAATGAAAAATATTCCAATTATTAATGTCTATTTTGGACATTTTTTATGATTGCTATCAAAATTTCTTTTATATTTGACTGACTTTTTCCAAGTGCTCAGTAATCATCAGCTATTAGTCATATTACATCTTTAATGTAAAAATAAACTGTACTTTAAACATTTCCCCATGTCTTCTTGCTATTTATTTATTATAAGCATGGGGTAAATTTAATTTTCTGAAGATACATGGATTAATTTGGAGCTAAATGAGATCAGAACATATATTTGGGGTTGGAAATGAGTCATTCTTATAAAACTGTGTCTCTAAAGGGAGAGAGCTTAACTTTGGAAGTAAATGGATAGTTTTGGAAAGAGGAGGCCGTATGATTCAGATTACAAAAAAGGTTATGTTTTTATTTTCACTAACTTCTACTGAAAATAACATTTCCTTTCATTGTGAAGACAACAATCATGGTTGCATTAGCAATAACTAATAATAACTAATAATATTGTTAATAATAACTGAATTAGCAATATCTTTATCTTTGTAAAATCAATAACATTTTCATATCATATTCCAATTGCTACAGAGATATCAAAACTTAGTTTATGGTCATTACTACTGTGAAATTAGTAGCCCCTGGCTAGATCTTATTTATTACTTAATAGATAAAATGGTATATCACAAATCTTTTTCTTATTATATCACAAATCTTTTAAAAATATTTTGATTAACTATTTCAATTTACTTGGTTTCCTTTATAATCCTATGTATTTTATGTTATTCATTTAAAAACAAACTACTTTGAGAAAGAATTCATAGGCTTCAGCAGACAGACAGAAGTTATCATGACCCAAAAAAGTTAAGAACTTCTTTCCAAAAGCTGCATTCCAAAAAACATCAGTGAAATGGCAGTTCATTGAGATAAATGCACAGTTTCTCGCCATTACTATCTGAAGGTATTTACAGGGCTGTAAAATGTCAGACTATCACTTTACTTTCCAGTCTGTGATCTTGGTCAAAAACTTTGCACCTCAGCATCTGTCTCTATGAGGGTGATAAATAAGCAATAAAACCTTCTTCATAGGGTTGCTGTGAAGATTATTCCATTCAAGGGTATTTAGAACAGTGACTTGCACATGGTAAGCGCTCAGTAACTATTATCTATTAGTTGTATTACATCTTCTTTTCTTTTCTTTTTTTTCTTTTTTTTTTTTTTTTGAAGACAGGGTCTTGCACTGTTTCCCAGGGTAGAGTGCAGTGTCATCATCATAGATCATAGCTCATTGTAACCTCAAATCCCCAGACTCAAGCAACCCTCCTCCCTCAGCCTCGTGAGTAGCTGGGACTACAGGTACATGCCACCATGCTTGGCTGATATTTTGTTTTGGGGAGAGATAAGATCTTGCTCTTGCTCAGGCTGGTCTCAAACTCCTGACCTCTAGTGATGCTTCCGCCTCAGCCTCCCAGAGTGCTAGGATTACAGGCCTGAGCCATCGCAACCAGCCATATCACATCTTTTATATAAAAACAAATTGTACTTTAAAAATTTCCCCATCTCTCTTGTTATTTGTTTACTTTTTTTGGACAGCACTTATCCCTTAGCTAAATGTTTTCTATCCAATTAAAACTATGGAGGATTTGGTAGACTGAGGAGAGTAAATGCAGGTCATCATCTCTAAGACACACAAGTTTTTGAATGGCAGTAATCATACACAGGGTGTCCAGAAAGTTTGTGTATAATTTAAAATAGTTTAACATAGTACATTGCACACAAAGTTTCTGTCCCCCTGTATGTCAGAGGGTAAAAAAAGGGTGCATTTTCCTGGATCAGACAATTCTAGGTTCCCCCTGGACTCTGACATGTATAAATTGTGATCTAGGACATGTTGCTAGTGTCTGACATACTTAATTTCCTTATCTGTAAAACAGAAATAAAAAATCCCTCCCAGAGCTGTTATAACTAAATGAGATGACATAGATAAAAACATAAGCTCATAGACAAAGGTATATAGAATGACCTCTGCAAAACCTTTCCATTTCTGATTGCCTCTCTTCACTTCTATTTAAATCCTCTGAATCTTTTGATGTCCAAATACTATTCGTTTTGATGTAGTTAAGGATTAACAGTGATTTCCAATTAAAAATCCCTAATACACAATGTTAAACTTTCAGAGGAAATTACCCCACGTGGCCATACAAGACAGGAGCCCCGTGCAGTGCCTGCCCCAAGAATGACAAGTGCTTGGACAATCTCTGTGGTGAGTAAAAGAAATAATATAACCATAAAACAATGCAATAGAAAATCTTGTAACTTTCTACAGAATTAAGAATGTGATCTTGGGGCAGCGCCTATGGCTCAAAGAAGTAGGGCACTGGCCCCATATGCTGGAGGTGGCGGGTTCAAACTCAGCCCCAGCCAAAAACTGCAAAAAAAAAGAAAAAAAGAATGTGATCTTTTTTTACATACTAATAGCCATTTTCAAGGAAATTGGCATAAATAACAATCAAAGCAATGGTTACTGATCTATGAATAAATATATCATTAATATTAATTTAAGAAAGCAAACCACATCTTTTGTCTTTATTTTAAAAATATTAGTGGGGTACAAATGTTTTATTACATGGTTAGATTTTGTAATGCAAAGCTATTAGCTGGCATCACTGTAATAGTTAGTGTTCATTGTATCGTTAGGTAGGATTTCTTTGCCTCCTCCATCTTGATTTCCAAAGACTTTTATTTCTCTCTATGCCCGTGTGACTTTGGGGGCAGACCCAGAGTGGGATTGCTGCATTGAATTACCCTTTATTTCTTTGAGGAATCTCCATACTGTTTTGCTTAGAGGTTGTACTTATTTGCAGTCCCACAAAGTGTGTAAGTGTCTCTTTCTCTGCACCCATGCCAGCATCTATTGTTTTCTGACTTTTTAAATCATACTGATTCTGACAAGGTAAAGGTAGTATCTCATTGTAGTTTTAATTTATATTTCCCTGATGATTAGAGATGTTGAGCATTTGTTCATGTTTACTGGCCATTTGTCTATAATCTTTTGAAAAACATCTGTTCGTGTCTTTTGACCACTTTTTAATGGAGTTATTTGTTCTTTCCTTGCTGATTTGAGTTCTTTGTAGTCTGGATATTAGCCCTTCATGAGATAAATAGTCTGTCAATATTTTCTCTAATTCTGTAGGCTGTTTGCTCTATTATTTCCTTTGCTGGGCAGAAACTTTTTACTTTAATCAAGTATAATTTATTTTTGTTGTTTCTGCAATTGCCTTTGGGGTCTTAGTCAAAAATTCTTTGCCTAGGGCAAGGTCTATAAGATTTTTTCCTAAATTTTCTTCTAGAATTCTTATGCCAAGAGATAGAGGTCCTTTTCCTTTCTTCTGCATGTAGCTATTCAATTTCCTCAGCACTATTTACTGAATAGGCCTTCCTTTCCCCAGTGTATGTTGTTGTCTGCTTTATTAAATATCAGTTAGTTGTAGGTGGATGGTTTTACATCCATTTCTCTTCTGGTCCTTTGCCATATGTCTCTATGTTTGTACCACACCATGCTATTTTGGTTACCATAGCTTTTACCTTCTACTATAATTTAAAGTCTGATAATGTGATGTTTCCAGATTTGTTCTTTTGGCTTAAGATTGCTTTTGCTATTCAGAATCTTTCGTGGTTCCAAATGAAGCATAAAATGAATTTGTATGTCACTTTGGGCAAGGTGGATATTATAACCATGTAAATCTACCAATCCATTAGTGTGATATGTTTTTCCATATGTTGGCGTCATCTCTGATTTCATTTCTTAGTCTTTGGTAGTTCTCCTTGTAAATATCTTTACCCTCCTGGGTTAAGTATATTCCTAAGTATTTTATTTTTTTGGTAGCAACTGTGAATGGTATTGAGTTTTTTTATTTGACTCTCAGCATGATTGTTATTGGTATATAGAAATACTACTGATTTGTGTAAATTAATTTTTTTAACCTGGACTTTACTAAATTTATTTATCAATTCCAGGAGTCTGTTGGGGGAGTTTTGGAGATTTTCTAGATACAAGATCATATGTTCAGCAAGTGATAGTTTGACCACCTCTTTCTCCATTTGGATACACTATATTTCCTTTTCTTGTCTAATTGCTATGGCTAGGACATCCAATAGTGTGTTAAATAGATGTGGTGACCACGGATGCCCTTGTCACATTTCAATTCTCGGGGGGAGTGTTTCTTACCTTCAGTATGATGTTGGCTGTGAGTATGTCATATATAGCCTCTATAATTTTGAGATACAAGATCTGAAAATTAAGTTTGCAAATGTGGTACCACATACTTATGTTGGCCACACTGTACAAACAACGCAGAAAGGTTTAATAATCTGGGTGTATCAATGTCTCTCAGTTGTGTTCCTGTCAATAAGTAGCAGTGTATTACTGCTGAGTGGTGTTCATTATTGTTGTTGATGCATGTTTTTGTGAGCTGTCATGAAATGAAAATGTTGGAGCTTAGAGTAACAAACGAACATTTGTAAATTTCTTGTTAAACTTGGCAAGAATGGAAGTGAATCAGGAATGTGCTAGTCCAAATTTATGGGGATAATGCCATGAAGAAAAATACAGTGTACAAATGGATTAAACATTTTTCTGAGGGGAGAGAAAGTGTCTTTGGTAAAGAGAAGTTATGGCAGCCAGTTACAAGCAGAAATGATAAAAACATGGCAAAAATTCATCATATTGTGCGTCAAAATCATCAGCTGTAAGAAGTGTAGCAAACCCATGTAAACATTGATAGAGAAACAAAAGTCTTAACTGAAAAGCTTGGCCAACAACGCATGGCTCTTGCATCACAACAATGCAGAAGCTCACATGGCACTGTCTCTGAGGGAGTTTTTAGCCCATGAACAAATAACTGTATTAGAACAGCCTCCCTACTCACCTGATCTGGCTCCCAATTACATATAGAGGAAATATTGAAAGTATTTTGATGGCATTCAGGAAATGTAGAGAAATAGGACAACAGCTGTGATGGACATTTCAGAAAAAGATTTCCAAAATGTTTTTGAAGGGTGGACTAGGCGCTGGCAACAGTGCATAGCTTCTCAAGGCAAGTACTTCACAGGTGACTATAGTGACACTCAGCAATGAAGTATGTAGCACTTTTTCTAGGATGATTTTGCAAATTTAATCATCATACCTCATATATTCCTCTTTGCTTAGTTTGTGAGGGTTTTTGTCTTGGGAGGTGCTGGATTTTGTCAAATGGTTTTTCTGCATCTATTAGGATTATATAGTCTTTGTTTTTGCTTCTGTTTATGGGGTGAATCACATTTATTGATTTATGTATGTTGAACCATCATATCCTTGGGATATAGCCCAGTTGGTCATGGTGTATCCTTTTTTTTTTTTTTTAATATGATGTTGAATTTGGTTTGCTAGTTTTTATTGAGGATTTTTATATCTATAAGAAATATTGGGCTTGGCACCTGTAGCTCAAGTGGCTAGGGCGCCAGTCACATACACTGGAGCTGGCGGAATTGAATCCAGAGTGGCCCACCAAACAACAACTATAACCAAAAAATAGCCAAGCATTGTGGCAGGACCCTGTAGTCTGCTACTTGGGAGTCTGAAGCAAGAGAATCACTTAAGTCCAAGAGTTGGAGGTTGCTGTGAGCTGTGACATCGCGGCACTCTACCCAAGGTAGAGACTCTGTCTCAAAAAAAAAAAAAAGAAAGAAAGAAAGAAAAAAAGAAATATTGGTCTGCAGTTTTCTTCTTTTTATTATCTTTTTGTGGCTTTGGTACCAAGGTGATATTGCCTTTTTAGAATGAGTCAGTGGGCTTCCCTTCTTCTGGGTGTTGTGGAATAATTTCTGCAATATGGGTACCAGCTCTTCTTTGTGGTTCTGGTAGAATTCCTCCATGAATCTATCTGGTCCAGGGCTTTTTTGTGTGGGTTTTTTAAAAATATTTTTTATTACTGCTCAATCTCATTGCTCATTATTAGACTATTTAGGAGTTCTATTCCTTCCTGATTGAGTCTTGGGAGGTTACATGCTTCCAAAAATTTGTCTATCTCCTCTGCATTTTCTAGCATATGTGCAATAAAGTTTTTTGTTAGTGCTAACAGGTAAGATTTTGTGTTTCTGTGCTGTCAATTGTAATATCTCCTTTTTCTTTTCTGATCAAGTCCTTTCACTTCTATTTCTGGTTAATCAAGCAAGAGGTCAAACAATTTTGCTATCTTTTCAAAGAACCAATTTTTTATCTCTTTGATCCTTAGTATTTTTTGTTTTCCATTTTGTTTAGTTCTTTGACTTTTGCTATTTTCATTCTTCTGCTGCCTTGTGGGTTTGGTTTGCTCTTCCCTTTCTTAGTTCATTAGAGGTGATATTAGATGTTTAGTTGTGATTTTTCTGTCCTTTTGATGAAGGCATTTGAAGCCTTCCCCTTAAATTGCGGTTATTGAATCTCATAGATTTTGTGTCTCCTTTGTCATTCAGTTTGAGGAATCTTTTGATTTCCATCTTTATTTCATGATTACCCAAAAATTGTTCAGCAGAAGGTTAATTTACAGGACTTTGTGTAGATGTGAGCATTAATTTTTTCTTTTATTCTGTGGTCAAGGAAATACATGGTATTTTCTGATTTTTTTAGATTTATTGACACATGTTTTGTGGACTAACATATAATTGATCTTGGAGAATGTCTCATGTGCTGATGAGAAAATGTATATTTAGTAGTTTGAGGGTAGAATGTTCTGTAAATCTGTTAGGTCCATTTGTTCTAGAGTTGCATTTAAGCCCAATCTTTATATTCTACTTCAGTGATCTATCTGTCTAACTCTGTCAGTGGAGTGTTGGTGTCTCTGACATTTTAAATGGTAGGGTTTATCTCTTTGCTTAGATCTAGTAGAATTTGCTTTATTACTCTGGGAGTTCTTGTGTCAGATGCATATATATTTAGAATTGTTAAGTCTACTCGTTAAATTGTCCCTGCTCCCCTTACTATTATATAACAACTACCTTTTTTTTATTTAAAGTCAATTTAATTTTATGTGACAATAGCTATGCCTGCTGTCTGTTCATTTCTATTTGCATGGAAACTTTTTTTCCATCCCATTACCTTGAGTCTGTGTGAGTCCTTATGGGTTAGAAGTGCTTCCTGGAGACAACAGATACTTGGGTTGGTTGAATTTTTTTATCCATTCAGTCAGCCTATATCTTTTGAGTGGGGACATACATGCTGTTAATGTTGAGTGATAGAATTGACATGTGGGTTGCTGTTTTGTTCATCACGTTGGATAGTACATAATTGCTTTGTTTCCCTCTTGTGCTATTGTTTTGTATAAGCTGTAGGCTTTAGCTTTTGGATTCTACACTGGTCTTAACAGTTGTGCTGATCCATGTGAAATGCTGTTCTGAGTATTTCCATAGGGCAGATCCAGTCATGAGAAATTCCCTCAGTGTGTGCTTGTCTGGAAAAGTCTATGAAAATTAGTTTTACAGTAGACAAAATTGTAGGCTGGCACTTGTTCTGTTTAAGATGACTGAAGATGGGTCGCCAATCTCTTCTTGCTTGTAACGTCTCTGCTGAGAATTCTGCAATCAACCCTGATGAGTTTTCCTTTTAAGTTACTTTAGGTTTTTGCCACATAGCTCCTTCATGTTGACCTCGGCAAATCTGATGACTACATGTGTTGGTAATTCCCTGTCTGCAGTTAATCTCTCAGGTGTTCATTTACCTTTTTTATCTGGATGTCTAAATCTGTAGCAAGACCAGGGGAGTTTTCCTCCATCATTCCCTCAAATAGATTTTGCAGATCTGTGCTTTTTCTTCTTCACCCTCAGGGATGCCTATGATTCGTCTGTTTGGCCATTTCACATAATCCCATATTTCTCATAGGTTTTGCTCATTCTCCCTCTTTGTTCTTTATTTTTGACTGACTGGGTTAATTTGAAACAGTTGTCTTTAAACTCTGAAATACTTTCTTCTGCCCTATCTAGTCTATTTTTCAAACTTTCCACAGTGTGTATTTTCTTAAATGAATTTTTCATTTCTAGAAGTTGTTTTTTTCTTAAATATCAATCTCTTCAGCAAATTTTCCATTCACTTCTTATTTTTCTTGTTTGAGTTGATTTTGCACTTTCTCTTAGATTTCATTGAGCTTCCTTACAATCCATATTTGTAATTCTTTGTCACTTCAATATTTTCATTTTGTTTGGAATCCTTTGCTAGAGAGCTGGTGTGCCTGTCTGGGCAGTCCTTTCACTGTGATTTTTCTTACTTCTGGAGTTCTTGTGTTGATTCCTTTTCATCTTGAGCACCTGTCACTTCTTGCTTTTAGATTTTGTTTTGTTTAGATATGGCCTTCCCTGCTTCTCCCAGTTTTAAAGGTGTCTGTACCATAAGTTGGGTAAGCACCTTCACTTTTGCTTTTGGATGATTTGATGGAGTTCTAGGTTCTGGAGGGATATCTTGATAATAGATATTTTAACTGTGGTGATTTTCTTTTTTTGCAGTTTTTTTGGTCAGGTCTGGGTTTGAACCCACCACCTCCAGTATATAGGGCCAGCACCCTACTGCTTTGAGCCACACGTGCCACCCAACAGTGGTGATTTTCTCAGCTGGTAGTTACTTGTAGGTTGTAGCAATGTGTACTGTGTGTGTTGGCAGATTCCCTGCCTCTTGTTCATGAGAGATGATGGAGGTCTTTGAAGTCTTTTCTTTCTCCTGCCCTGTGGTCTTAACAGTGTGAATTATATAGGGATGAGCAATTTAATCTCTGAGACACACACTGTACCCCATGATAGTATTAATGTACACAGCTATGATTTAATTTAAAAAAAAAATCTCTGAGACAGTAGTTAGGTAAAACTCAGCCATGCCTGGATAATTGAGTCAGTAAATATTATACAAGTTGTCATCCCTGCCATAGGCAGAGTTTGCTGGAAAAAGCCAGCTGCAGTATTGTTTTTTTTGAGATCTGTGACTGGCTCTAGCCCCTCAGAAGCATGTAAATGTACCAGGCAGTGGGTAGAGCCCTGGAGCTCTCAGGAGTCTTCTTATTTGTGGGTAGAGCCCTGGAGCTCTCGGGAGTCTTCTTATTCCCCACCACATCAGAGATTGGTGGAGGAGTGAAGCTTGGTGAAACTGGCTTAGGCAAGCCGGCCTTCAAGCTTCACAAAGGGAGGCAGAAGAACTGCGTCAGTAGGGGTCAAGGGTTCACTACCAGGCAGCTGGAGAAAGCAGCAGGAAGGTGAGGCTGAAGTGGGTCCACCAAGACAAACTTCTTGTGGCAGAGGGACCATCTAGGACTCATAGGCTGGCCAGTGGAAGTGGGTTTAACTTTTCTCTCTCCTACCCTATCCCAAGGTCTCCTTCTGGAGTCTGGCCACAGGAACTCACCAGCAATGGTGCTGCAGGATAAGAGCTTCCCTGTCCAGGATTCCACCCAAAGCTGAGAGCATGGTTTTCCTATAGGGAGAGGGGTGCTCCATTAGTACACTGTGGCTTGGGCTCACATTGCACTCTCCTCAGTTTTGCCCATGCAGGCTTCCTTGCCTCCTAAAATAAGTTTGCAGATCTCCCCTCCATGCCCCTAAGCAACATGATGGAGTCCTGAGTATGGGATCTGGCCTGTAGGCCTGTGCCCAGGTCCTGCAAGTTGAATCCCTAAGCATGACAGGGAAAGGTGTGCTGGTGCTTTGGTGTATGCCTTGCTCTGCTGAAGCAGCCAGGGGAGCATCACTGGGGAGGCCAGTGGGCAGGGAGCTCACAATTTGAGTACACATTGGTCTACTGCAGGTATTTAAGAGGAAAGCTGTGAGCCCCACTTGCTGTGGGAACCTCCATGCAGTTAGTAAACAAACCAGCATAGGGGAAGCAGCTGCACCTGAGTCTTGGCTCAACTGTCCTTTGGGGCACCCGTGCTTCTTGGCAGCAGTGGGTGGGGAGGGTAAGCAGGGGAAAGAAAATCAAATCATCTGAAAGGCACAGTCTGTGTAGGAATGAGCAATATGAAAACGGAGGGGCTGAAGCTCCCTGGGAGAGGACAAAGGCACACAGTGGGGGGAGGAGACGCACAGGGCCCACTGCCCATCTCAGCTTGGGTCTGTGGTAATGGGAAGCAACCCCTAGGAGGCTGGCAGCCTGATGCTTTTTTCTCAAGAAGCTCTCCATTCACTCACTGGAGGCAACAGCTTTTGGGCTTGTGAGGGTAGAAGAGCTCTCCAGCAGCTCCAGAACATGAGGAAAGGAGAAACAAAACTTCCACCTTCTAAAACATACCTTCCAGAGGTATGAGGAAAGGAGAAACAAAACTCTCACCTCCCTTCCTGCTGGGCTCCAGCTCTCTCAGAGGTTGATCTCTGCCCAGGAATTAGGACTTGTGATAGCCAAACGCTCTGTTGATGATTTAATGACACAGTATAAAGGATAAAAGAGAAGTCACTGCCTCTTTGCAATTATCATACAGTATCATTCTTCTCAGGGAGGAACTTATTTTCAGGAAAAAATTTTAATAAATTGCTGACATTACTTCTCCTTGAATTAATTTTTAATTTTGATTATACTTATTATCTGCTAGTTATCAAACATAAAGTGATTTTCATTTATAGATGGTGAAGTTTCCTTTACACAAAAGGTTTGTATATAAAGTTCATATAAAAAGTCAACTTGAAAATACCAAATTAGCTCATTCAGTACAAATAAATCTTGAATAACATGAAAATCACGGCAAAATGCCAAAGCAATAGTTAATGGTTACAACAACTAAAGACTTAGCTCTTTAAAACAAAAGCCTCAGCTGTGCCTACCCTTTTAATTTTTCTTCTCCTTGATTTCATAGTTAACCGACAACGAGACAAAGTCACACGTATGTACCTAACTCTTGGTATTTCAATAAAAGCTATCTGAATTATATCACTGCATTATGAGAAAGAAAATCTAAGAGGATGTTCTGTTTCTTTCACAGGTTACTACTCTCTTGCGTATCCAGACTGGCCCATATATCTACGTAACAGATATACTTCTCTTTTTCTCGTTATTAGTCCAGTAATTCTCATACTATCTGTTATAATTACCATTTTGGTAAAGCACAAATACCCTAATTTAGTTCTATTGGACTAATAAAATCCAGTAAAATGAACCTCATTCATATATGGCATTTGTTTAATCAATAACAACTGGGTGTATTCAGAAACAAAATGCTGCAGTAAACCCTTACTCAAGAGAAGAAACTGCTCCAATCCTTTTCCATAGAAAAGTGGAAAATAAAGATGATACTGCTAGGACAAGTGTTTTAGGCTGCCACAGCTAGACTTTCAGTAATCAGCCTACACATGTTAAATCTGCTACATGAGCAAGCTAGATTTGGGTGAGTCTAAGTTAACTCCAGTGGCCCTCGTTAGTTACAGGCATTATCCTTGCCTCGTACACACTGCTTTCACTCTAAACATCTGGTTTTCTCTGCTCTCTTATAACTTGATGTCTTTCTGGTTTTAGATTAGTAACTAAAGGATTAAACATCTGCTTGTGAGATGTTTAATCTTAGAATAAAACAAAAAACAAAACTGAAAAATGGAATAAAGCTGAATATTTACTTGTTATTGTTAGACAGCAGGCATTTAAAAACCGGCATTTATTTTAGTGAAAATCAAATGCTAGGACATTATTACAATGGTTACGTTCCAAAAATCTATATATAAAAACCTAAAAATTTACTCCTAAAATCATGCTTAGGCAAAACTTGCCCAGAACTGATCAGACACAATGTATACAATACATTCCACTTTCTAGTACAAATTTTTTCAAAAATACATGGAGAATACAATAATTTATATTTATAAAGAACAATGTTAAAACTCAGGGAAAAAAAAGTGTTCAGATTCTTCTTTTTCCCAGATAAGGCAACTAATGCCTTAGTATCTCAAAATCCTTTACAAAAGGAGGTGGTGTCTTAAGTTGTAGTGAAGGGTTTTATGTGTTACTTTTTCTTCTTCTTCTTCTCATCTGCTTCCATCTTAAGCTTAACTTCTTCAGCTGTAAGAGCTCCTAGTTTCTTGTTCTTTGCTTTCTTAACCTTTTCCTTAATGGTGGCCACATCAATTTTGGTTTCAGTAGAAGCTACACAAATTAAAAATAAAATATATATAATTTTTTAGAGTTTTAAAAAATAAAGAATATGTATTGAGGACACTGAAGTAGGCCGATTTTTCATCTTAAACATTTCATGAAGAATATTACATGTAGCTCTGTAATTTTAATTAGCTAACTATGAAACTATAGGTCAAAATCTACTTCATCTAATACCAAACAAAAACTTAAAAAATCAAGTTTTCCAAATATTAATTCAAAGAATGACTAGTACTATTTAACAAGATTTTGATAATAAAAAGACAATTACCTGAAAGTATTTACAAGTCCTCCTAATAGAACCAACTATCTAATCCATACCAAAAGCCTAAGCAAAACAAAGCATTAAAAAAAAATCCAACTTTTTCTTACCACTTAAAGTACAATACTGAGAGCATAGAAGAATCACGAGATAAAACATCATCATACAGACAACCCAAGAACTGGAGCAACATAGAGATTAGTCTGTACTTTCCATTTTTAATCATTATGGGTCCTGGTTAACTAGCTATCGAGTGCCTTCAAAGTATTTAACTGACAAGTTGTACAAACTGAAAATTATGGTTATCAGTGATCTCCACAGAAAACAGTTGTTTTTAATGCTACTGACACTAGAGCAATGTAAGAATAACACAATGTGGTACATCTGTTTCTGACCAATAGTTTCTGTACAACACTGCTGGTGAGCCCTTTCCCTCACTGGGCCAATGTTCACTTGGAGGGGGACCACAGGAAGAGACAAGTGTTACAAGGAAAAGAAAATGTGGAAAGGAAAAGGAAAAATCAGAATCCGGTAGTAGAAAGGACACAGGAATATTTTCTTTTAGTGTCTTTTTAGTAACTATTAAATAAAACCATTAGTCATTTTGTCAGTGTCCTTTTGTCCAAGGTGATGAAAAAATCTACATTAAACGCCACTGATCACATAACTGAGGAAAAGAAAAGCGCACCTCTGATGAGCCCCTCTGAGAGGCAGGACAGCAGGGCTCAGGATCTGCTGCTCCTTTACTTTTATTTTTACAAAAGATACACTGACTGCTCTGGGCTTATATCTTTCACAACAAAGAGTCTTTCCCAAGCACAAATCAGAAGTTAGAGGAAGGGCTGTTAATCTGAAACAGGCATCAGATGCTACTAAATTATAAATCACCTCCATCTCAGTCACCTCTTGTCCCTAGGATTATTTATTAATGAAATGCTAAAAGAACTGATGAAACAAATAGTGATTTCTTTGCCTAAGACTCAGAGATTCAGACGAATTCACATTATGAGGTTACTTTTCAGAGATAACAGACTTTTGTACCATATCAAGGGTTAAAAATGAGTATTACCTTCCTTTGGTTTCACAACTGGTTTTTCTTTAGGTGGAATAAAAGCTTTGTTTCTTTCCTCTTGTCTCTTACTAAGAGCTTCTGCTTGTTTTGCCTACATTATTAAGAAAAAGGACATTAATGAAATAGAATTCAAGTTAAATAAGAATCTAAGTACCTGTGACCTTTGCTACTAATGTTGAGAGCTCGACACAAAGAGCCTTACCTTGGCTCTGCACCTGTGGCTTAAGCGGCTAAGGCGCCAGCCACATACACCTAAGGTGTCAGGTTCGAATCCCCAGCCCGGGCCTGCCAAACAACAATGACGGCTGCAACCAAAAAATGGCCGGCGCTGTGGCGGGCGCATGTGGTCCCAGCTACTTGGGAGGCTGAGGGATGAGGCAGGAGACTCGCTTGAGCCCAGGAGTTGGAGGTTGCTGTGAGCTGTGAGGCCATAGCACTCTACCCAGGGGGATGGCTTGAGGCTCCGTCTCAAAAAAAAAAAAAAAAAGAGCCTTACCTTTATTGCTTCCATTTTCTGTCGCTTCTTCTGATGCGCCTTCAAAAAGTATTCACCACTAGCCAATTCTTTATCAATCTATGAAAACAGTGTTTACATCAGAAATAAGGTAGGTGAGCCATTTCGTAAGAAATTCACAATATCCTTAGGGTAAAAACCGTGGAATCCCTAATCTGATTAATTCATAAACAGTTAATTTTTAAAAAAGAAACATCTTCTAAGCTGAGGGGAATAACACACAAAAGCACAGAGGTGGGAAATCAGGTGATGTGCTCATTGACACACCAGAAGAGTTTGAGGGGATCGAAGGTCAGTGCTGCAGAGAAGTGTGAGAAGAGACTGGAAAGACAGTTTGGGGCAAGCATGAAGGGGCCTGAATGCCTGGTGAAGGAGGTGGGGTGCAACATAGAAATGACTACTGATTTTTAGGAGAGTGAAGAGACCCAAGCAGTACTTTGATAAGGTACAGAACAAGGGACAAAAAGAAAGAAGAGCCTGGAACAAAGGGAGTGGCACGCAGAATGAAAGCAAGAATCGTCAGGGTGGGACGGCTACTGAGAAAGCAACAGCGTTCATTTAACAGAGGCAACATATATAATAATGTTTCTAACCGATTCCCCATTTGGACAGCACTGTTCCAAGCTCTAAGATTACTAACTCATTTAATCTCATTAACCCCATTTCACATATAGAGAAACCAAAACATGATGAGATAACTTGCCCAGTCACACAGTGATTAAGCCTCAGAAAAAGTCAACTGAGACACGGCTATTTCAAGAAGCTCGCAGGGGCAGGAAGGAAAGACCAGTCAATTACTGACTCCAGGACAGGACTAGAAGAGGTACGGCAGGGACTACGGAAGCAGGGCTTAGTAAGTGGATCACTCCGCCTTCCCCAACTATTACTTCCTCCTTCTAGAATAGACTGCACGACGCTCACCATGATCACCACAATTCCCTTTTGACCCAACATCAAACCTTTCCTAAAAACTCCCAACACAGAGCTGTGGAGAAAAAAGATGGTACAGAGGAAGGGACGGGTTTACATGCCGAGCAGGAATCAGTAAAGAGGGAAGACTTGAAGATAATCCAAGGGAGGGAGTAATGAAGGAAGAGCTCCTAGGATACAGGTAAGATGGAATGCAAGGAACAAGCAGAAAGGATTAATGCAGGAAAATTACAGGTGAGGGAAGAAGGAGGGAAGGAATTCTTGTTTAATGGTCTCAAATATTCCAGCGAAGTAAAATGCCTGTATCAGGTGCCAAAAAGTGAGAGGGTGCTAAGAGGGTGAGTTACCAGACAATACCGAGGACCTATCTGAGGCTGGAAACGTGGACTTCTGGTGGATTTAATCCAAAGATTGGAGTTTCTCTAGTTTAGTCTGTTAGCCACAATATGTGAAAGAAGTCGAGTTTTTGGACTGATCAAGGTTTTAGCGTTTTGCTGGGACAATGTGATAAGACAAAAAGCATAGAAGAAAATAAGTGATAGCAAGAAAGAAAACAAAATTTGGTCATGGTGGGAAAGGAAATAAAGCAGAAAACAGCTGACAAAATGGGAGGAATTCATAATTTTCAAAAAGGATAGACATTAGAATTTACTATTTAAGAAATGGAACCTGTCGTGTAGTGCACGGTCACAGAATGTTGCTAACGCAGAGTACTGTGGGTTAAGCTGTGGAGTATTTTTTATTTGTGGAACATTTACAGTAGCGACAGTGACACGATTGATACCAACCACACCTCGATGCCTCCCGTTTACACTCCATCTAAAGACCCTCTTCCCCACAGCTATACACTCAGAACATGCCTTTACAACTTAGTTGCTTCGTCCACACACACTCCACTGAAAATACCTTCAATAAAGCTTCTGACAAAATAGATTAAAATGGTTTCTCTCTCATACAAAGTCTAACATTCAATACTAACCTGACTTTCCGGCTGGGGTGGTGGGAATGGTGTGTATTCCTTCTTAACACTTTTCTTCTTTGGTTCCTTGCGTTTATTCACATTTTTGTGTTTGAACTGCGGCAAAAATCTTTCCCAACTTTGTGATCTTAACTCAGAATCTTTTGCCAATTCTCTTTTAATCATTAAGGTCTTTATCATCCAACATATAAAGAAAGTAAAACTTTTTAATTTCAAAATTTACACCTTTCTTAAACTAAGATATCATAAATATTGACTTCTATAAATGATATAAAAGAAGGGACCGTTCCCCAGTCTCGTCAGTGGAATTATACCAATTCTCTAAACAGAAAGATATGTCCTCTTAAACATGTACAATTAACCAAACCTCAGAAAACTGTTATAAATTTTAGGTTAAAAAATGCAGAATTATTAACAAGGTAAAAATAAAACTAACTCAGCTTTTCAATCTTTAATTTCAATAATTTAATTTCAATTATTTCATTAAAATCTTTAAAATTCAAGTTTATAGCAGAGAATTACTATTTCATTAAAACCTTTAAAATTCAACTTCATAGCAGAGCTTTGTTAATTAGTTGGCAGCAACTGAATTCCCATAGGAAAAGACAAAAGTAGAATAAACTTTTCCATGATTAGACAACGCCCAATATTCTCATATTTCCATTTGACTTCTAAATACATTGTGACATCAAAGAATGTAAACCAGGTATCAGATGCACGACTAGCTTTCTTTGTATCTGTAATGTCAAATGTAACTCAAAATCATTTTCACCCTAATCCAACAGTGAGCTTTTAACTTTTCATCAAATGTAAGTGAGTCACTCAACAAACACCCATCATAAAACAGCTTGTTAATACCATGGCTACATTTTCAAGTACAATCACAAACTTTGTGCATACAGGGATGTAACAGAACTCTCTCAAAGGGACTACAATTTGAGTGTTAAGTACTAAAAAAGGTATTAATGCAATCTGAGATAGCCCAGATTTTATTAATAGAAAAGGGCAGAATTCACATCTTTAAATGTATCATATGGGCTCATAATCTAAGAAAACTGGATCGACATCATCCACCACAAATTTTGATGTTCACTTCGATTATTTCAGAACAGCAGAATACATTATAGTATCCCCACCAATAGTTTTCACCCCGTGCTCCATGAAGACGTTCTTCCAAAGGAGTAACTACAGGACTAGGGTAAAGCTGAGTGGGCTGAATTTCACCTCCAATTCACCCAAATAGCTGTGCTTTAACTATTTGTAAAGTAGACTTGTATAAAACATAATTTCAAGAAAGCTTTCTGCAGCTCAAAGTAGTGTGACAACCACTCACTTTGATGTTATAAATTGGATGAATATTCTTCATAGTATCTAGGACTACTTTTCGCACCTGCAAAAGAAAAGGAAGTAGTTACCAATAAAGATTTTAATGAACTGGGTAGAAGAGGATTAACGTCTTGTAAAATATCCTACAAATCAGGAAATGGCTATTAAATTGAAGCTGCTAATAGTAGTTCCTTCTACTGCTCTAATGAGATCTTTTACAAGAATAGTCGACCTCAACCTCCCTTGAATACAATGCAGTTTCTCAACTACTCCTAAAATGTGGTATGTAGAACTAACGGAAAACTCGGGATCTATGGAATTTAAAGGGAAGAGAGCTGCATTTAGAGTCAGAAAATACTAGGATTGCACTTCATGTAGAAGGGTCATTTAATTTCCTTATTCCCTCTTTCTCATTTATAAACTATATACCTCAAAAATGTCATAGAACTAATATATTTCAAAGACTTTATAAAACTATAAGTTATCTGACATATATAAGTTATTATTGTTCCATGAGAAAGGGGCAATTTACGAGAAAGATGGCCAACAGAATTACCACTGAAGGCCCTAGATGTAGGCACAACCTACATCCGGATCCTGATAGTAACAGCACCAAAAGGAGTTAACAGAAACAGTGTTTGCTTCACAGATTTTCTCATAACATTTAATTTGAGAAGTTAAAGAAAATGTTCATGAAGACATTAAACATTCGACTCAAATTCAAAAAAATAAATACAGTGTATCTTGAAGAAAAGCTTTTAGAGTCTGACCTCTACTGGCTGTACACATTGCTGCAAGTAACTAGATCTCTGTGCAATTTTCCAACCGTCTGTGCCCGTGTCACTCACTGTACCATGTTCCCATACATGCTGCAGACTAAAGATCTGAAATGCCCATTTACATTTTGTAGAGGGAGGAATGATAGTGCACAGACCCAATTCCGAAATGGTTATCTCCACAGGAGCCAAAGGTTGGATATAATATGTTCGGGTCTAGAAGTGATCACTCCCTCAATTTACATGACCTACGAAGTATCTATCAATCTGATAATAGATTCTTAAAAAAAATTACAAAGCAAGTTATTATCTAATGAACTATTATAGCCAAATTATTTTGTTTTCTGCTAAAAATTAAATAAACATAATAAATAGTTCTCACCTCTTTTAAACCACTAAAGGGTCCAATGGCTGAAACTGTATTTCCCTGAACCATAATATAACAGTTTGTTAAGAGTTCCAATGCCTGTATCAAAAGAAAAAGAGGTTAAAATTTAGTACCCCGCAAAAATAATGATAAAGAAGACAAGTTTTCTACTGATAAAAAGTAAGTACCTTCAAGGTAGATCCTTTGGGACCAATAAGCCGTTGTCTTCTTTTGACAAATCTTTCTTTATTTCTTACTAAAGAACCTATTTTAATAATGTCACATGCAATATCATCCTGAAGAATTCGTACTGCCTTTTGGAAAAACAAAAACTCTTATCAATATTATTTATGGCTACATTTATTTCCCCAGCCAAGGCTCATGATATTAAGCACAAACCGGAAAACTAATTGTGGAAGGAAGAGAAGAAGAGAAATATACAGTGATACAGGTAGTTTAATGCTGATGCAAATGAAGTCTCTCTAGTTTTAGATTTACCTGTTCAAATGAAACACTCCTTGCCAACAGTTTTATTAGATCTCGGGCCCTAATGATGATATATGGATCAAAGGTCTTCTTTGTTGTACAAACAGTCATGCTGCCCTCAATCAAGTCCAGGGTTGCATTTATGTGCTACAGAAAGAAGGAAACAGAAAACAAGCAGTTGTCTAAAAATGAATTCAGTTTTAGATCATGACGCAGCCTACCCTAACCAAACTGTTAGTATCTGTGCCATTAATCCATCTCTCTAATCCTATCAATTCCCTCCCTGAAGAAACTAGGTAGCTAAATATAAATAATGAACAGTTGATTACTTTCATACTTCACACGATTTAAGAAACTAGAGCAACTGAAATCGTTTATATTTGGTTTTAGAAAACTTTGTATCTACAGGAATACAAATTACCTCTAGTTTAAAAAGTGTAAATTAATCTAATTGAGGCTAAACTTAAAGACCTGATTAAGGTAAACACCAAAAGCTGTATAGCTTCTCTATTCTGGGCCCACCTCCAATTTCCAATCTGCTCCCTTGGGTGAGAACTGACTTTCAGACTTTTTTCTAGTTGGTTAGGAGATTAAATACAAAGTAAAAACAAATTATCATAGGTTCAGCAACAATTAGAAAAACTAAGCATTAACTCTCAGTAGGATGAAACAGATTTTAATAAAGCAAATATAAATACTCTTTTCTCACTCATGAGCCTAATCTGAAGAATATTTTGACATAATGAGTGTTGGTAGTTGGCTCTCTGTGAGTTTACAAGAAAAAAAAAAATAAATCCAATCCCAGATGCAGCTTGTCAAGCCATCTTCAAGCCCAAGGCACAACCAACTCCAGAGCAGTCCCACAGTGAGAAATCCATTTTATGCCACAACTTACTTTGTGTTGCAATGACTTTATCTGGTATGTAGCTGTTCTTTTCATTTCTATCCTTTGATGAACAGACTTTTTAAATTTTAATGTAATCTATTTTGTAAATAGCTTCCTTTATAATTTGTGTCTTGTTAAAATTTTTTCTCTTTACAAAATATAATGATTAAATATTCTCACTTTTTTCTATAGCTTTCAGGATTTTATTTTTACATTTTTGTCTTAATTCGCCTTGAATTGAATTTTCTGTGTGGCATAAAGTAAGAATCAAATTGTATTATTTCCAAATGGAAAACCAATAGTTGCAGACTCTTGATTAAATTATCCTTCCTCATGGCTTTGCAATGCTTCCTCAGTCATAAATCAGGTTGCCATATATGGGCTTTCTATTAGATTTCATTGCTTTACTTATCTCTGTTCTTTTCAAAAATAATAAGCACTGAAACCTAGTAGAAGGATTTTTACACGTGTACACACACAACTAAACCAATAGCTTCATAAAATATTATTACTTTTATCACAGGTAATACATTGATTTTTTTAAAGGCTCATTATACCCATTAAAAATTAGGTTTCAATCCTCAGTATGAAAAACAAAAAAAAAATCCAGTGCTCAAGGGGCATGGTAGCAGCAATGAATGGGAGAAAGTTGGCCACCTTTAATTTAATATGAAAGGTAAGCAATTCAGGAACGTGACTCAAATTAGACAGGTACAGGGACTACAGCAGGCAGTCTGAAATTTGGACTTTACAGCTGAATTTCACACAGTCTGAAATTCAATTCCTAAATACCACATCTATGCAGAATTTTCAAAGTAATTCACAATTCACAAAATTAATAGCAAATGTAAGAATGAAGCTTACCTAGACTTTAAAATACCAAAGTTCCTTTGGTACCAAAGGAACCAAATTAACCGGCTAAGCTGGCATCTTTAAAAAAGAAAAATCCATCAGCACACATACATTTACTTAAAAATAAAGGCATAAGTAAGAGCACAACAGCAAAGTAATGTACCAAATATGCATACATGTTCATTCAAGGCTTTCTGCACCAGTGGCCAACACTCTTTCAAGTAGGCCTCTCTATATTTTGGGAACAAAGTTGCAAAACTGCTCTCCTCCAAGAGTCCTCTGGGATTGTCCTCTTTGGAAAAAGCTGGTTCCTTCCAACCATCAGGAACAGTAAGGAGTTCTGATTCATCTACAGAAGGGAAAAAACTTATGCATCACATTTTAACTGTCTTTTGGACACTTTACCAGCATTGTATATACACAAACAAGCTTACCAATACTCCTTGCATTTCCCCTTCCCCTGCCTCCGCTTTTCACATTATTCAACAGTCAAAAGAACATGCCTGTCATTATCAACATACTGTATTAAAATTATCTTCGCATTTTGGTTGCCTCAGAAGTCAACGTTCTCAAGGACCCTCCTCTTTGTATTCACACTAATTGGCATGTTCTGGCAGAGAGTGGGTACTCAAGAAACTTGCACTGCACCAACTATCACTCAGTTGAACATTCAAATGCCAATTTGTTTGCTATTTTTAAGGAATTTATTTTTTTTACTACTTCCAGGAATTATTTATCATTTTAAATGTAATCAACTGGTCTGGCTTTCCTGGAGTGGAACCTGAGTGTGGATATATATGTTTGCATAAGACTCTTAAAAGCTGATTCCATCATATACTTTCAGGTAATGCAACCAATATAGCATTCTAGGTTTTCCAAAGAGTTTTCAGTACCTTATTTCTTTTTTTTTTTTTTTT